TCTGGTTCCGTCCTGAGCCTCCACCACCATTTAGTAATTAACGAAACATATAGGGCCCTTAGTGAGCCTACACCTAGCCCCCCCCCCCCCTCCCAATGTCTTTTGGAGCAATCACATTGTCGCAAGCCACCCAGTGCACTTTCCTTTTTTCCTCGCAACCTCCCCATAGGAACTGCCTGCGAATACTCTCCAACATGTTAATAATACCAACTGGAGCAACAAAGAGAGAAAAGTAAAATGTTGGAAGATTTCCCATAACGGCCTTTATTAATGTCAATCTTCCACCAAATGATAACGTTTTTGACTTCCAAGATGAAAGCTTTGCATGAAACCTATCCACCACCGGTTTCTAATGTTTCCTAAGATTCATGTTCGCGCCTACGGGCACTCCTAGATACGTGAATAGGAGTGATGCCGGTTCACACCCAAGGGGTGCTGCCCACCTCGCCACCTCCTATGGGTTTGCTCCGATGCCAAACACCCTAGACTTGCGAAAATTGACTTTAAGTCCGGACGATATGTGGAAACATCTGAGTATTCGAGCCAGGTTTTTAACATTGCCTCTTTCCCATTCCCCGATAAATAGAGCATCATCCGCATAAAAAAGGTGTGAGATAGTTAAGTCTGTTTGTGGGATTCTTACACCTTTGAAAAGTCCAATTTCACATGCCTTCTTCGTAACGACGTTCAGTGGGGGCCCCATTTACAAGTATCGAGGCACGAGCCGATTGTAAGCATCCCCTGATCCACATTCTCCATTTCATGCCATAACCCATTTGATCCATAATGGAGTTCAAGTACTCCCAATTTATCGAATCAAATGCCTTATCAAAATCAGCTTTAAAAATAAGGACTTTCTTTTTCGATTGTTTTGCCCAAGAATAAATTTCACTGACAATTAGCGGGTCATCTAGTATGCTTCTACCTTTAACAAAATCTAATTGAATCTCATCTATATTGAGCCTAATCACCTTTTTTAGTCGATTAGCAAGAGTCTTCGCAATTATCTTATATAGACAACCGATAAGGCTAATCGGTCTAAAGTCTCCGAGTATAAGTGGATCCTTAACTTTCGGGACCAATGTGATGAAGGAAGAATTGCATCCCGTATTAAATCTCCCATATCTTTCAAAATGTTTTACAAATGCAAGCACGTCTTCTTGAATTAATTCCCAGTACCTCTTTATAAATTTGAAACTAAAACCGTCCGGTCCGGGGGACTTCTCATTTCCACACTCTCCCACACTGCTGCTCTGATTTCGTCTATGGAGAAAGGTGCCTCAAGGGTGGTTTTATTGATTAAGTCCAATGAATGAAACATAGGGCTGATGAGTTATGGTCTATTTGGCCATTTCTCCTGAAATTTGCTACAAAAGAACTGATATGCCTCATGCTTAATTGTATTCACATCGGTGTTCCATGCTCCGTCAATTACAAGACCGTGTATGTGATTTTTATATCTCTTATTATTCATATATCCGTGGAAAAAACATGTATTTTCATCACCGTCAATTTCCCATTTTATATTTTCTTTTTGTTTGAGGTCAAGAACAACCATCCTCTCTAGTTCAGCGATCATTTGAAAACCGTACCTGCTTTTCTGTGCTTCCACCTCAAATAGTTCTCGAGTCTCTGCAGCCCTGTCAAGTTCGTTCATCCTCTGCTTCAGATTCCTCAGTTCTAATGTTTCCTTCGGATAATCTGTGGCTCACCACTTCTTGATTTCGTTTTTTAGGAACTTGAGCTTTGCTTTTAGATATCCATCTGGGGCTCAGTAACCAACAAAAGAGCTCCAAGCTTTTCTAACTACTGCATCAAATCCTTCTCTATCCATCCATGAGTTGAAAAATCTAAAAGGTGGCTTCCCAAAGTCTGAAGTGGTGGTTTGCATAAGAACAGGGCAATGATCAGACAATTCACGAGGGAGCACCTCCACTGAAATGCCCTATTAACAATTGAGGAAATTCTTGCAAATCAGGAATCTATCTAATTTGCTTAGTTTCAGATCTGACTGGCAGAAACACGTGAATCTGTGTCCTCCGATATTAGCATGGCCTTCTTTCTCTTCATTCTTAAAGCAACAGGTAACCTACAAAGAACACAAACCATAATACATGGTTACCCACTGTCATGAACACACTCCACCGCCTCACTCATCTTGAACCCATGAAAACAAAGAACAACCGAGATCCATCTCCACCAGCGCCACCGTAGATCTATCTCTACCACACCATTTAAGTCCACCATCGTTGTCGTCAGTGTCCATCGCCCTCACCTCCTCTATGTATGACGCCGTCACCCCTCACCCTTTGTTCTAAACTTCGATCATCCATCTTTCTCATCTACCATCGGTAACAAACATACAAAAAACCCAATCTGAAAGCTCAATCGAATCTCTCTCACTGGACATGTTGTCACTAATGGTGTTCCAAACTTCGATCGATTCTATGATTCTCTCTCACTAGAGATGGTGTTGAGGAGATCGGGTCTAAGTTGCAGGTGGAGGGGTTTTCTGGGTTTTTATTTTCTATTTGTGTACATCCCTTTTAGATGCGATGATACATGTCCAAGGGTTCGATTTTGGGGGTTTAAGTTAACAGGGTTTGATTTCATGGAGCTTACAGGTCTATGGATTGAATTTGATTTCATGTTTATTTTGATTACATGTATCAGGTAGAAAAATCATTTTTTTGGTTTACTTGATCATAGTTTCAGGTCATCAAATCTAATTTGAAGTTCATCAGGTTTGATTTTAAGGGGAGCGAGACCTGGCCTCCTCACCGACGAAGATGGCTGCGAAGTAACATGGGAAATCCCTTTCCTTCCGTGGGATTTTGATGGAGGACTGAAACCGAGAAACAGAAGCGAGAGTAGTGGCTGGATTTTTCTGATTAAAAGAGAGATCTCCTTCGTTTCTGATTTGCAAGTGTTGTCAAAAAAGAAGAAAAAAAGATTAGTGGGTGGATTTTCAGAAATCGAGCACATCTGTTTGAGTTCGTTTCCTCTATCTGGCGATTTTCAGAAATCGATAGTTCTTGAAGAAACCCACAAAATCGTCATCGTCTCCTCTATCTGGTGATTTTCAAAAAGCTTTTTCAGACTCTATGTAATCCATTTTAAAATTAAGAATCGTGTATGTGTGTGTGTTGAAGAGCAAACCCAGAAAATCAAGTTTGTGATTCAAATTGTGTTCTTGAGTGTGTGCGTGTGTGTTGAACAAACTCAAGAAATCTTCTTCCTATGATGGTTTTAACGCGCGCGAGAGAGAGAGGGGGGTTGTATTTTTTATTTTTTATTTAAAAAATAATGAAGTAAATAGAAAGAAAATAAAAAAAGAAATAAAAAGGGCAAAAAAAAAAGTCATTTTAGCCACTTCCAAGTTTGAAACGGATCAAAATCGCAACAAAATAAATTTTTTGGACTTGTATTGCAACTCCAAAACTCTTTAGACCAACGTCCCTATTTTTTTCAAACCTCAGAGACCAAATTTGCAATTTTATCTTTTTATAACTTCTCTTCTATAATATTCTATAATATAGGGGCACTATCTGTCATTTAGTAAGACCCTTGGGAGGCAAATGAAACTATAGAGCGAGATCCCCAACATAGTGTTTTTCCAGGTTTAAATTTCGGATCTACCAAACAACATACACTTTTTAATGTATAAGTTACATGTTACTACATAAATAATCTTCTAAATTTTGTAACTTTTGATCTGGAACCTTTTATTCACCCAAAAAGTCCCGAATCTTTTTATTTTTTAACCCCAACTTTCAACGAGAATTTCCAGATTCAGATGCAGTTTCAAGCATGCAACCGCTAAAGAACATATTTTTGAAGATTCCATCGAGGGTTGGAAGGTTGACCTGAAGTTGAAGGGCCTTATTAAACGATCATCAGTGTTCAGAGTGGAGTTTCTGGCTATCTGATATTTTCTCAAAAAGATGGAGCAAAACTCTCATATGGGTACTCTCAATTCATGATCGGATTAGCTTTAATCTGTTCATTACTTCGTTAGTTTCTATTTTAATTTTTGTTTTATGCAGTTAATTGAAGATATCGTGTTGAAATCATCCTTTTTGTATCAGTCATGTTCTTGCTCTTTAAGTTAAACCCTTGTAGTTAATCGCTGAAAACAACAATTAATCTTGTAATTTGTGCTGATTTCTGGTTTAATATCGTCATTACCCGAAGGGTCTCTTGTTATTTGTCATTGGATTAACTTTTCCTTCAGTAGTATCTTCTTCATGGACCTTTAAAGTCAACCATGTACTTAAGGAAAACTATGCTACTTTGACTTCTTTCGGAGATATTCAAGTAAATTAAATAAATCATTTACATATGTTATCATACAATTTGGTTACCAGAGAGATTTATCTTATCTTCAGGTACCTATAATTTGCTGGAATCTAGGCAAGAAGATGACACCTACACCAAAGATGGGACTGTAGATTACCTTCAAAATCCAGCTAATAAGAAAAAAAACCGGAACTTGGAAGGCATGTGGCTTCATCTTAGGTGAGTACTATCTTTATCCTTTGGGCTGATTTTAGGTTGCTTAAGTGGGAGTCTAAGAATAGAAACTACATGGTTCACTAATTTTTCTATATATATTTTTCTATACAAATATAAAGATTTTTATAGTTAAGGTAGGTTCTAAATGTTTTTTAAGATAGGTCCCTAAAAAATTTTTGTAGGAATTTTAGATAAATTAAAAAAATTAGGTGGGTTCAAGGACCCACCTTCTTAATGCCTAGCCTCGCTACTTGTTCACTTGTTTTTGTTACACAGGACAAAAACATAGACATGACATGACTAGACAAGTTTTCTATATTTTTGATGAAGAGGATGAGAATGACATATTTTTGTCCTATTGACATGAGTACCCTACTACCCTTACCCCTAAAAAGATCTTAGTCCCATACATGACAAACGTTATAACTATTTATTCTCTTGTATATGTAGGCAATGAATGTTGTGAAAGATTGGCGTATTATGGAATGAGCTCTAATTTAGTCCGATATTTTAAGTATCATTTGAATGAGCATAGTGCAACGGCTTCAAGAAATCTTTCAACTTGGACCGGAACTTGCTATCTCACCCCATTAATCGGAGCGTTCGTGGCCGATACTTATATTGGACGATATTGGACCATCGCCACCTTCTCCATCATTTATGCGTTTGTAAGTCTGATAGTAACAATAACAATAACAATAACAATAACAATAACAGTAACAATAGCAGTAACAGTAACAGTAAAAAAATCTTTTTATAGGGAATGGGAATGTTAACACTATCGGCATCCGTCCCGAGGCTAAAACCAACATGTTACGAAAAAGATGTTTGCACTGCAACAAAAGCTCAAATTGCATTATGTTTCACGTCTCTTTACCTCGTGGCTCTTGGAACTGGGGGAATTAAACCCTGTGTCTCGTCTTATGGTGCGGATCAGTTCGATGATCATGATGAGGTCGAGGAAAAACAAAAGAGTTCTTTTTTTAATTGGTTTTATTTTGTCATAAACATCGGTGCACTCGTGGCTCATTCTGTTCTAGTTTGGATTCAAGATAATGTGGGTTGGGGTTGGGGTTTTTCAATTCCTACTATTGCAATGGGGATTGCTGTGATTTCGTTTTTTTCAGGTACTAAATTGTACCGGAATCAGTTACCGGGTGGTAGCCCGCTCACTCGGTTGTGCCAGGTGGCAGTTGCTTCTTTTAGAAAGAGAAAGATCGAAGTGCCATTAGATAGTTCACTCTTATACGAGTCTTCAGAAGAAGCCGGTTTTTCTAATTCAGGAAGCCGCAAGATTGATCATACGTTAGATTTGGTGTAAGTTATCACCTCTAAGTCATGTTGGGTACGCGTTATCGAATCTCTTATTACTAATTTGTAATTACACAACTTTTTGTTTTCAGTTTTTTCGATAAGGCAGCTGTGGTTACACCAAACGGGTCAATAAACCCATGGAACCTTTGCTCTGTGACCCAAGTTGAGGAACTAAAAGCTGTGATACGTTTACTTCCAATATGGGCCACCGGTATCATTTTCTCCACAGTTTACGCCCAAATGAGTAACCTATTTGTGTTACAAGGCTCCACTCTCGACCCACGGGTCGGCATATCCGGGTTCGAGATCCCGCCCGCTTCACTCGGAGTATTCGACACAATCAGCGTAGTATTCTGGGTCCCGGTTTATGACCGAGTCATCGTCCAAGTAGCCAGACAGGTCACGGGTCAACAAAACGGGTTGACCCAACTCCAACGGATCGGGACCGGATTATTCATTTCCATTTTTCGCATGGTTTGTGCTGGTGTTCTTGAAGTCGTTAGGCTACAGATTGTATCAAGAAACGATTATTATGAACTGGATCGGATTCCTATGTCGATTTTTTGGCAGGTCCCACAGTATTTTTTAATTGGGTGTGCTGAAGTATTTACATTTATTGGGCAATTGGAGTTTTTTTATGATCAAGCTCCTGATTCTATGAGAAGTTTGTGTGCGGCTCTTCAATTAACAATTACTGCACTTGGGAGCTATGTGAGTGCTTTGCTTGTGACAATCGTGACGATTATTAGTACATGGGGTGGTGGTGCGGGGTGGATCACGGACAATCTCAACTATGGCCACCTTGATTATTTTTTCTGGCTTTTGGCTGGTTTAAGTTTGGTGAATTTGGGAGCATTTGTTGTGTTGGCGAGAAGGCACACGTATAGAAAACCTGCTGCAGCTGGTCGGTAATGTTGGACTCGAAAACATGCACCGGAAAGGTGTACCTAAGCAGCATGGGTTGTAGACAAGTGTGTTGCTTGCACTTGTACGATTCTGAATTTGCTTATAGTTCAATGGTTTGTACAAAGGACATTGTTTATAAGAACATCCACACAAATTCCCTCTTTCTTTCAGAAAATATCAATTCTATCCTCCATTCCTTATTAAACGGTGACAAATGTATTAAAATATTACTAATTTAATTAAATGTGACATATGTCAACATTTGATATAATACGAGGGTAAATAAGAATAAAATATAAGAGCAAATTTAATTTCTCAGGAAGTAGTCCACATTCATTTATTTTGTAAGAACATTCAAATTTCATTTTGTATGGAAATTATATATATATATATATATATATATATATATATATATATATATATATATATATATGTTACTATATTATTATACAAACCTTACTATTTCTAAAAATAGATTTAAGACGTCCAAATGTTTAAGCTTAAAGTACAACTGAACACACAAGAAAAATATAATAATAAAAGTTTAAGACGTTTAGTTTAAATATTTAAGCGTTAAATACAATTAATCAATGCATAGCATCCTTAATTCTCGTGACTTTTTTACCGACCCCATATCTCGCTTATTTAATTTTTTATTTCTCTTTTTATCTTGATCTTTGACCTGGCCTTTTTCGTTTGAATTTAAAACACACTAAACATCGGAGTATGGTTACAATCTTTGAATTCCAAAATTTCAAAAACTGAATATAATCACTCTCCAAACAACTTCCACAGGAATTCTAACGCCTCCCATCATCGCCAACACCCTCCTCGTCGACCACTCTCACTGCTTCCATGGCCCCAGCTTACCATCCATCGTCAACACCATCCACAGTTACCACCAGCTCATTCCCATTGCACATCGCCTTCCAAAAACCCTAAACTCTCCCCTCCCCACCATACGCCACCACGGTCGCACACCTCTCTCTCCAGGAACCATAAAACCCTTGGATTTCAACTTCTTCGCCGTTGGCACCACATACGCACCACCAAAAACCAATCACAGAAAAGTAATATTTATTCATCTCCTCTCTCTCTCTCTCTATACAAAATCCTGTCTATCTATACCATCTTTCTGATTGTGTTTATATGATCTGGTTTCCAGGCCATATAACGAATGTGGTTGAAACAAACATTAAAGGGACTGATAATTTCCAGAAACGTTGCCACCACCAATGAACACTACTCTCCTCTCTTCCTCACTTTCTCTAAAAATCCCTAAACCACGTTCACATGTACACTCACCACCATTCTCTTTCTTTTGTCTTTGATTGGACTCTTGCCATGTCTCCTTGCTTCTAATTTTCTTTCTCAAATCATAATTTATGTTTTTTTGTTACTTAAAATCTTAGGATCCAAATGGATTTGACCTAGATTCTCTTTGATTCCAGGTAAAGTTTCTGACCTATCTTCTCATTTATTTTAAACCCAAATGGAGTTTTTAGAGCTTCTTATTTGTTCCTAATTTGCAGGTTTTTACTGGATCACAAAGGGCAATTGAGGTAGTTTTCCGCGGTAAGAAGTATTTTGAGTAGTACTTTATGCAGGGGTGTATATGTATAATCATGGGTTTGGTGGTTTTTTTTGGTTGAGGATTAAGTTGCGATGAATGAAAAATGTGGGCTTGAATTCCTCACAAAAAGAACTGGGCTTTGATGTTCAGCTTAGGTAAGAAAGCCATGGACGTTTGATCTTTTTTCTTTAAACCAAAAGATTCAAAATTTGAAATCGCTTTCCACATCTCATTCTTTATCCAATTGATTTATTTATTTATTTATTTATTTTTTGCAGATTTTGAATTTCACTCGAATTTCATTCCATAATTTCAGTGTTTTCATGGGAGAGAGCCACCATGAGGGTGAAGAAGGCTTCTATAACATAGATCGATGGTCAATCTGGCAGGTTTAAACGTTTGGCTTATTTTCCTTGAAGTTTCATCGCCCTCTCTATCATGTTTCATGTACACTGGAACGCCAATGATCCTCTCTCCTTCGCTTCACCAAATATGTTTTTTTTTAGTTTTCTCATAGTAAAAGTCTGATATACCCTTATCGAAATTATATTAGAATTTTTATTTTAAAGTTAATTTCGTTCAGCTATTGCACCTGCTTGGACTCCATTTTTGAAATTGGTGTTTGGCATTCATGCTGAGTGTCCAAAAGTTGAGGTTCTTCTAGGCTTCTAGCAACATGTTTTATCGGACCATAACTTCTATTTTCTTTATCTTTTTTTTCTAATTTTTGTTTTTATTAATGATATGTAAATTTAACCAGGTTCATGAGGCGAAATTGTAAAATCTAAGTTAGAAATGGAGATTGTGATTATGGTTCATTGGACAAAACTGTGAATTACAACAGGATCAACCGAATGTGATGACTTTTGGTTTTGTTCAAATGTACATTAGAAATAGAGATATTATTATTTCTTTCTTCTAGGATGTCTAAGTTTTTCATATAAGCTTAAATTTATGCACTGTGGCTTTGGTTTTTTTTATCATGTCATACATGACATATATATTCTTTTTAGGGACATTGATTTTAAAAAATTAGCTACATTTCTGATTTTTAACATGCTATCATGGCTTCATGAAGAGAATCTATGATTTTGAAGTTGCTTTACCACTAACTATTGGTAGTTGTTTATCTAATCTAAAAATGGTTCATGTTTCTAACATTGTTGAAATGCTCTTTTTTCATCCTAACACTACTTTTACTTTTACATTTTGATAGGAGATTAGCAGCACTAAAAGCACTTATTCAACTTTGGCAGTTATGCAAAAGGTTTTCATCTTTCATGATGCATTTTCTACAAATTCCGCTGAAGAGCTTGAGGAAATACAAAGAGATGTAAGATTTAATTTAAAACTTTTTGTTGTTGAATTTGTGTTTACTTTTAGCTCTTATGCTTTTCTTTAAAATGACATCATGTGTTCTTATGTCTTTACAGGACCACTGTATTTGGTGCTTTTACTTTGGACTTAAGAAATCATGAAAACTTTTCATACTAACTAGAGAGGTACATGTATGTGTACGAGGTTATATCCATCTCTTCTCTCTCAACGAATCAATAGGAGAAACGACAAGATTTGTTTGTAACGTTTCAGTACGTTTATTTATAAAAATCATTAATAAAATTTTATTCGAATTTTGGGTCGTCAAGTGAGGTAAATGTCTCTACTTTTTGAAAGTATAAAGGTGTAATTAGGTTGATTTTTGAACTACAACTTCTTTTTAAGAAAAAGAAGTACAATGTTGTAAATTTTAATAGTAAGAATAAAACTGTTTTCTTGGAAAAGGTTGGTCAAAAGATAGACCATGCGGCAATTTTCACAAATTTGTTGTTATTCGAAATTACGTAAAGAGAAACATGGCCTTAGCCAAACTACATATGTCCAAGAATTCAAATTTATATTTGAATGGTTTTTACTCTAATATTAAGGCGTTGTAGCAGGAGTTGATTCTTTTTACCTATCAAATATACAGTGATTTTTATCATTTTTAATTTTTCCTAAGGTATGAAGGTTGAGAAATAGCAATGTACTTTCATTTGTTTGTCTGAATAACATCTTACTTTCATTTCTTATTTTTAATTTCTTTTTATGTTATTTTATTTTCTTTCCTATTAAAATTTTAAACTTTGAAAGTACAATGTTATAATTGAAGGTATAATGCTATTTCTTGCATTTAGCTCAATCATGATTCATGAGTATGGTTGTAATCCAATTTCATTTCTAATTTTATGCAGGTGGATTTGGGGGTCAAGGAGATTACATTGTTAAGAGTACAATTGTAAATCAGTTTCACAACAAGCTCTTAATCTTGTTGTTAAAATGTATTTGAACATGTAAATATTTTGATGAAAGTAATAATATGTTGATGCCAAAATGTTGCTGAAAATGTAAATATTTTTTGTCAATATCTTGCAGAAAAGGGTAAAATGATGTTGTGAAAATGCATTTTTTTTTCTTTTGCCATTTTGAAGCCGTTGTTTATACGACGTTTTGTCTTCAATCCCTAACGAATGTTGGTGGCATGCTAAGAATGTATTTAAAAGAAAAACAAAAGGTAAAAGATGATTGCAAAAAAAATTAAACAATCAATGACAACCCACAAACTCTTTCTCCACATTTCCCCCCACCCTCTCTTCTCTCTCATCTTGTTAGTCGAGTAAAGTTTGGCGTACCCCTTAGCGTGCTACGAGGCAGTGTTAAGGGCATGCCAAAAACTTGGCGCACTCACGCTACGAGGCAGTGTTAAGCGCATGCCAAAAACTTGGCGCAGTCACTCCATATCTTAGTACTTCTCTCTTTAACTCGGATTAATGTATCTAACCCCTAAATGCTCCAAAATATATAAAATATTAATTCATATCTTGATTTTAAGCCAATTTACCCGCACGGAATGCAAACCCTTCCAATATGTTGATCTCTTTAATGCTCTCTAAATCCTTGTGGTTTAACTAGGGTTTGCAAATATGTATGACGGAAAACCAACCAACATGTTACCAACCGAACCAAACATATTGGTAACCAATATATTTGGTACGATAGTGGTACAAAATTTTCAATACCACGGTAATACCAACCAACCAATTCAATATATAATATATATATATATATATATATATATATATATATATATCTATATATATATATATATATATATAAAGTTTTAGTATGTTTGGCGTTTAATATTATATTAGCATTCAACGTATTAGTAAAGTTTAAAGTTTTAAACTAATGATAGCGTGTCTAATTTTCCTCCACTATTTTAAATTATAAACTCATGGTAGACATTAATAAAAAAAATTTGGATCGAAAAAAGAGGGGTTATTTGAAAATAATAACCATGAAAAAATTGATTCGGAATCTGACCATAGGATCCGCAGAGCATCCTCTGCGCATCAAGTAAGCCCTCTGAGGAAACGAAACACCTCTGCGGATCTTGGGTTTTTTAATTTTTTTTTTTCGTTTTTTTGTTTTTTAATTTTTTTCGTTTATTAATATTAATTTTTTTTAATACACTAATACCTTATGTGATTATTATGTAAACAATTTGACCAAAAAATGTTAAAAATAATGAACTTATGTTTAATATCAGTCCATAGAACTATTTGGGAATCCACAGAACTGTTATTAGTGGATCAGTGTACACCTATGCGGATCAGTGTACACCTCTACGGATTAGTGTATAAATTGTCATACCGGTTAAATATTGTATCAACTCACCCCGGTATTGAAAAATATAGAAATGGCCTCCAATGCACCAATTTCTACGAATGCAACAACGTCGTCTGATACTCCACGTTCATGGACGACAAGAGAGGTGATGGTTATAATACGATGTTGGTTGAACATTTTTTAAGGTGTAACAACAATGGTTACCCCTGATTACCTTGGAGGTGATGAATGGACCCGCATAACAAGTATGTTCAACCTCTCATTTGGACAAGGAGAATATCGGGTACAAGTAGATATTCTTAGTAAGTGGATGGAGTTAAAGAATGAAATCACATGGTACAATCGATGGTATCATCATCTTAAAAATAGTAGTAATTATTATTACTCAAACGAGGAAGCTCTTGTAAGAATGATTTTAGATCATTACATTTTCGAGCATGAGGGAAAAGACTTCGAGTATGTGGACGTTTGGAATCTGGTTAAGAACCACCAGTATTTCATGTAGAAGGGTTTTTTATGTGAAATGTTTTATGTAATATATTTGCTACTGATGTACGTTTTCCATGTATTTGTATTGTTTTCTATTTTATGTTCTATGGAATAAAGTAGAAGTTAACTCAACTGGTTTCGTAAATAACCTAATACAAACCAAATACATATAAATAACGTAATACAAACCGGTGCATATAAATAACCTAATAAAAGCAAACTACATTAAAATATCCTTCTACAAACGCAATACAAATTAAAAATACGGGAGATCTTTTAAGAGATTCCAAGGGCCTTCAAACTCGAATTCTAACCCGTCACTAATGGATATGTATTCCGCTTTCGTCGCGTCCATGATGACTTCCTCATCTTCATTCGGACGTGCGTCATCAATTTTGGTATAAAAATTGTTGAAAACCAAGACTTTTGTTTTTAATTCATACCATTTTGTCGTGATGTTAACGTGTTGTGGTAGTTTTCTGGGGCAGTTTGAGGGTCAGCGTTGAAGGCA